TTCGTCATAATCGTTAACAAATCTCTCCCTCCCCTCCTTCCCCTTGTCAATGTTGGTAACAACATCACTGAGTCACATGAAAAGTTATCCTTGAAAGGGGAGTGTAGTGCTATCATTAAGAACGCTTGACCGATAAGTCACCTACAGCCGTGAAAGATGGTAAAATCTCCAATACTCCAACGTTTACACTGAAAACCTCCTGTGACTAATTACAGAATAGAAATTTCCGTCTGCTTCCTAAAACAAAATTTTCATAACTTGGATTCTCTTTGAAATTCAAGTGATAATAATTAAACTATGATGTGGGAAGGACTCAACTACATAAGATCGCCTTGGTTTAAAAATAGGTCAATTTTCTTCACCGAGCAGACGAGGTGCCCTCAAAAGCAATAGATCTAGGGCTAGGTTTGCACTAAACAAGCTTCTTTACGCATTCGTGACCAGTCCGGGACGTTTTGGTCTAGATTCTTTTTATCTTTTAAACACCAATCTGTAACTAAAACGGCGTTCCGGTTTGGTTGCGACTTCGGAGATTTGGAATGCGGAGTTTAAAGTAAGATCTTTGCATCTGAATACTTTAAAATCCGTAAAGTTCTGTTTTATACGCCGTTTTTCTTTTGCTCAAAGTCTAAGTTTACTTAACTTTATGGGTTGATCCACATGTAGCTAAAGATACAAGCAAACAAAACCTTTCTTATCCTTACGATGTCCTTATTACGATGGTCCTTATTTCGCCACATGGAAGATCCCAATGAAGCCTATAATGATTTTATTGAAGGATACTCCAGAATCTATAACACCTGTTTCCCTTTAAAGGTTCTCAAAGGTAAGCAGGTAAACAAGTTCTTTTCTCCATGGCTTAGCCGTGGACTTCTGAAATCCGTTAACGAGAAGAATAGACTCTACAAAAAGTTCGTCACATCATCTTCCACATCTTCTGAGACGAAGTATAAAGCCTACAAAAACAAACTCACCCATCTTATTCGCATTGCCAAACGTAAATACTACGACTCCAAATTTGAGAATGCCAGAAATGACCTCAAAACAACTTGGAAATTGTTAAATGAAGTTATTAACAAGCGTAAAAGTAAGTCATCTCTTCCCACATCATTCAAATCTGAAGGCAGAACATTAACGGATCCAATGGAGATCGCTGACAGATTCTGTAAATACTTTACAAACATTGGTCCCAACCTAGCTAAATCTATACCCAAGGTGAATCCTTCTTTTCGTTCTTACCTTGGTGATAATATCCGTCCCTCCCTAAACTTAAAGCCCACCACAACAAGTGAACTGGAAAGCATTTGTGGCATGTTCGCTTAAAAGAAGGCTCCTGGCTATGACAGTATCCCAATGCATGTCATTAAATATTCATTTCACCTTATTACTGCTCCATTGGCATATATTATCAATCTATCTCTGCTAAAAGGCATTTTCCCGGACAAACTTAAAATCGCTAAAATTATTCCCATCTTCAAAGCAGAGGATCCTAACTTTTTGGTAAACTACAGACCTATTTCTTTGTTGTCTAATTTTTCCAAATTTTTCGAAAAAGTCATATACAATCGCTTGGTAGAATTTGCCGAAAAACACGATATACTTTACCGCTGTCAGTCTGGATTTCGGAAAAATCACTGGACATCGCACGCACTAATTCATTTGGTAATTAAAACAGCTTCTGCAATCGACCAACACGAAACAACGGTGGGTGTTTTCCTAGATCTTTCCAAAGCATTTGACACTCTCGACCATCATATCTTGTTTGCAAAATTGGAGCACTATGGTATCCGTGACGTGGCTCTGCAGTGGTTCAAAAGCTACTTTTCTTGCCGCCAGCAATTTGCCCAATTGAATCAAGCTTGCTCTCCTATGCAAACCATCAAGTGTGGTGTCCCTCAAGGTTCGATTTTAGGCCCTCTATTGTTCATTCTATACATAAATAATCTCCCCAATGCTTCTGAATTAACAGACCCTCTGCTTTTCGCTTATGACACCAGTATCTTTTATTCTCACTCAAACCCAAATTGCTTAGAATCCGTACCTAATGATGAACTCCAAAGTATTGATGTCTGGCTAAAATGCAATAAGCTCTCAGTTAATATAAGGAAAACTAACTACGTAATTTTTGAACCCAGACAGAAGAAATTTAACTCCAGTATTTCTCCTTTGGAGGTAAACCCCTACAACAATCTAACATGACGAAATTCCTTGGGTCTATATTGATGATCATCTCACTTGGAAACACCATATCAGCTATGTATGTAAACAAATCGCTAAATCAGTAGGTATTATACTCAGGTCTCGCTTTTTCCTATTTGCATTTGTGCCGTACAAAACTTAAGCAATTTACAATTCTTTACCAAGGTCCTAAAATTTGGAACTCTCTTCCTGTTTCAGTCACTCGTTCGTCAAACCTTCTTAGTTTTAAGACGAAAATGCAAGAGTTTTTACTTAAATAATCACTTGAATTGGCTTAGCCGCACATTCGCAGCACTTTTTCTTTACTTTTTTTTATTAATGTAAGTGAGGTGGCTCTCCCATAAGCCCGGTGGCTTCCTGGGTCTCCTTGCCTTCTAGCTCTAACCGCTGTAAATGAATTTTTTTTGTATTGTGTAAATGAGGCAAATAAAAATATGATGAGGATGATGATGTCATTTCAGTTCCTTTTTAATGGAATAGGAGCAGTCCTAGACCCTTAGAGAAAGATTTATTGTATCATATGTCGAAACACGACGATTTTTGTGACAATCGTCTCCAGTCTTATCTAGTTTGGAGCGAAAGTCGAGCTAGCAAAACAGTTGCGAATCCGAATGTCCCAAGTAAGCTCGATAGGATGGCAGGGAGGGCATGGGAGAGGGTAGATCGAGAAGTAATTTTTGACACCCCCCCCCCCTTCCTCAATCAAAAATTACCTAATCCCCTCCCAACACTTGCCTATAAAGCGCCCGCAACAGCCAAGTCACCGAAAAGGTAGACTTTAATTTAATTTGAGACCTAAAGTCGCACAGGAAGAATGGTACTCAGTGGCAAAGAATGCAAAAACGTTAGGAAGAAGTATGTTTCTTGATCTGCAAGTTATCAATTAAACTCTCCCTGATAAAATCAATTATTCAGGGAAAGAACCGCAGCATCAACAACAACAACAAGTATATAATGATTGGGACAGAAATAAGAAGTAAGAATAGAATAAAGCAAATTTGGGTGCAATATGTGGATCAAAATACAAAGACACGAAATTTTTAATTCCATACAGTGATCATTGAATTATTTTTTTTCAGAGGCATACATTTCCAAATGGTTGACTGGCAATCAATACCAAATAAATAAAATTAATCATATTGATATAATAAGGAAGGTTAAAAAAAACATTGATGAACTACTCTTTCTAGCATTAAAAATTAATAACAAGTCATAATGTAATTTGCGACCAAATCAAAATTGAAAATTTTGGACAAATAATTATTTTTTCTTGCGTGAGAGCTGCAGTATGAGTATTAAACCTGTTGTCAAAAAGGTTTCACAATCCTTTACCTTATGAAAAAAGTGTTACACCTGTATTTAGGACCCAACAGTATTTATTTTATTTTAAACAATTCTACCAATTGTTAAGTGAGAAGTCTTAAATAAAGGTACATACCACTCTTTGTCTTAAATGTTCTGACATCTGGCTCACTGTCTCCTTGTTCGTTGACAGCAAACAGTTTCACTTCATACTCTGCGTCATACTCAAGACCACTTATCGTGAAGTGATTTCCCTCAGTATTTGCTCGTTGAATCATGTCTGTAGATCCTTTCATGGGCTGTTTCCTCCATTCCAGACGGTATTTAACGCTGCAATTACTGCTCTTGGCCTCAGCTTCTGACCAGGTAATAATGAAGTCCTCGTCAACGTCTGTTTCTGTATTTGTGATGGTTGGTTTCTCAGGTAAACCTGTTCAAAATCATGCTTCACTTAAACTTTGTCTCCGATAAATGTGAAATACTTATTTTAACTAACTAAAGCACGTAGATATGTCAATTTAATCATTTCAACAAATAATATGAATGCAACGGGTCTTAACATGTCAGATCAAAAACATGATAACCTCGAAATGTACGTTTTCAATAATTTTGGTCTCGTATAAGCATACATAGAGGATCTTCAAGACTGTTCTCTAGGTTGTCATTTTCGTGTACGTTTCGCACTCAGTCGATTACTACCCAGTTGGAGTCGTTCGTACCCGACCCAGTGGTACCACCAAATCACCAAATCCTAGGAGATCTCAAAAAGAAAACATGTCACCCACGAATGAGCAACCTGATATCGATTGTTGCATACGGAAACTTAGTAGAGAGTCATATGAGTATTACAGATACAAGTTAAGTTCTGTGATGTATACTTGTGACCCTCTTGACAATAGAAAGATCAGACCCCGCATAACTGATTCTAGGCCATAGATTTGGTGGTCGTTCCCAGCAGGATGCAGAGTCGGGTAGTTAACTCTGCAGAGCAAAAGTCAAATGGCGGCACCTAGTTAGGCGTGAGCTTAAAGCTTTGCTTCATTTCCACGAGTGAACGCAACTGCGTCGAAATTTCCTCCCATCTTCTGGAACCACCTCATAGCTTCAAATTCCAACATCTGCCACTAATTGATTCTTCAGTAATTATTATTGTTGGATGCAGCCTGGTAATAGGCTCATCCTAATGACATCTTTCATTTTAAACTACGAGAGGTAAAAGATACTTCTCGGCCAGCACATTTAATCGCCTCATGAGCCACAGTACTGGGCTGGTGTAAAGGCCCCGAGTAGAAGTTGTGCGGTTGTCAAGGAGAGACAGTAAAGCTATCAGAAGCATTCCTCGTTGCTTCTTTTCAACATGTTCTATTTATTGCTGAAAAGGGGTCAATCGAACATTTACAAGCGCCAGTTGTTGGTTTTTATATTATTAGTTATAGTATTAGTATCTTTTACAATTTCATTTCAAACAGTTCTTCTAAAAGTAAAGCGAGAAGTCTTAATTAAAGGTACATACCACTCTTTGTCTTAAATGTTCTAACATCTGGCTCACTGTCTCCTTGTTCTTTGACAGCAAACAGTTTCACTTCATACTCTGCGTCATACTCAAGACCACTTATCGTGAAGTGATTTCCCTCAGTATTTGCTCGTTGAATCATGTCTGTAGATTCTTTCATGGGCTGTTTCCTCCATTCCAGACGGTATTTAACGCTGCAATTACTGCTGTTGGCCTCAGCTTCTGACCAGGTAATAATGAAGTCCTCGTCAACTTCTGTTTCTGTATTTGTGATGGTTGGTTTCTCAGGTAAACCTGTTCAAAATGATCCTTCTTTAAAACTTTGTCTCTGATAAATGTGAAATATTTATTGTAACTAACTAAAACACGAATATATGTCAATCCAATCACTTCAACAAGTAATACGAATGCAACGGGTCTTAACATGTCAGATCCAAAACATGATAACCTCGAAATGTACGTTTCAAATAATTTTGGTTTCATATACGCATACATAGATGATCTACAAAACTTTTTCTTTAGTCTGTCATACCCGTGGAAGTTTCGCACTCAGTCGATTTATACCCAGTCGGAGTCGGTATAACCCGACCCAGTGGTTGATGGGTAACCGTCCCAAAATTATCTGACCACCAAAACGGGACATCTTTCAAAATATGTTACCCACGAGTGAGTAAACAGATGTCAATGGTTGCGTACGGAAAGTAAGTAAAGAGTCAAACGAGTATTACAGATACAAGTAAAGTTCTGTGGTGTATACTTGTGACCTCCTTCACAATAAAAAGATCAGACCTCCCATTTCTGATTCCAGGCCTTAGATTTAGTGGTCGCACCCAGTTGTTAACGCGTTGTTAACGCGGCGGGGTGAAGGTCACTTGGCGGCACTGCAGTTATTAGGCGAGCGCTTAAAGCTTCACTCTATTTCCATGAGTGAACGCAACTGCATCGAAATTTCTTCCCATATTATGAATTTGACCCAAACAGTACCAATAAGACTCTCTCCCAAATAGGTTGTTTAGAATTATGAAGTGTAATATAATAACAAACACCACCCCTTCCCCCTTCCCCCTATAAATTGGCTATGGTAATTTGCAAGCAGCTAAACTATAAAATATTCACTTACCTTGCAGTAACTCAATGTCTTCAGGGTCTCCAACCAACTTTTCCAGATAGTTTTTCCTGTTACGGCACAAGTGTAGGACTTCCCATACACTAAACACCATGAAAAAGGCACCAACAGAGATAAAAGCTATATTTAGGTTCGATTTCTCCTTGTGATGAAGATCATTACATTGCAATGTTAGTTTTGTCTGGTTGAGTGGACTTGGCGTGGTTTGACTGTTGGTCTGCAAGATCTGATTAACATCACACTCAAAAACGGAAGGTAAAGAAATTGTCTGGTAACTGCAGACCAGCCCTACCATAACACCCAGGAACAATATTCGAAAGAATACATGGATGAGGTAGGTGCAAAGAAATGTTTTTGTGTCTTTTCTGTCTCCTGGTCTTTTTCGAAAGGTCACAGCACCATAAATTGCAAAGCTGATCCAGCATGCACACAAAACACCGAGTGTTATGGCAACAACATTCCGAGGTATTAATCCATGAGGCTTGGTAACTGTGGAAATGTAGCTGTTATAGCAACGTTGTCTGATAAAATCACTAGGTTTGGGATCGCAGTTGAAGTTAAGTCTATCACTATCATGATACTTTTGTAGAGTGCCAAGAATGGAACCCAGCGATGCAGCAAACAAAATACACTGAACTCCTCCAAGAGCAGTTTGGAACTTGATAACCGGTTTACACGTATCAAACATCATTCCATGAAGTATCAGTACCTGAGAAGGGAAATGAGAGAATTCTAATGTACCAAATGATTTGATGACTTGGAGAGGGTAAACCTGACTTAGGAAGAGACATTAAAAACTTGTCTGAAATTTGTCTGTGTATGCCTTATGTATTTAGAGAGAATTGTCATTCAAAAAAAATTGTGCCACCTACATAACTTCTGCACCAAACCTTAGGAGCCATTTTTTAATTTTATTACATTTCATTTTACCTTTTTTTATTTTGCTTTTCTCTTCTTCTTTTTTTTCTTTCCTTTCTTTTGTTTGGGGGGGGGGGGTAGTTATGCAGCAGCCTACCTCGCTACTCTGCCAACTATTGTTCATCATCATGTACCAAATATATTTGTTCACACGATTGAACTCAAATCATCATGAGATTAAATATGTTCAGTTAAAAACCGGAGGAAAACAGAAACAAACGCTTCTATTTGGCATGAAGATATGCACAGATATTCTTCCGCGAACATTATTTGTTCTGAAATGAAAACGGGTTTCCGAGAGGAAAGCTTGAGCGAAACTGTTAGCTTTGAGGAACTGATAATGCCCAAGGACAAATATACGAGCATATTTTCGCGACGAATGAAGGCTATTGTGTTTATTATCCTTGAAATATATTTAAGAGGGAAAAATTATAACGAATGATTAAGTATTTTCTGCGCAGGGGATGTTTACTTTTCAATGTTGTCTGGTACGACTTCATGAGCAAAAACACATTTCCCTTTCTCTTAACAATAGCTAATCACTCCCTCACCTGGAATTAAATTTTAAACGAACACATTTCTCATAGTATGCGTAAGGTTCGAAAAGTGGGGAATATCAGCTGGGGTATCCTGGGATATGCCCCAGCTTTAGCCCAGGCATGTGCGATCAAGTGATGCTTTTAAACCAGTCGCACACCAGAAAAATTATGCGATGGATTATACGCGGCAGTATATTCCCCAAGCGATATTTCCTAATTTTAAACACATGCATCCAAGTTGATCAAAGTCGTTTTAAATTTCAATTCACAATGAAAGAATGCTAGCTTTTAGCTGTAATAACCGAAGAAGGGCCATAATATCTGTTTGTTCATAAAGTCATAGAAGGTAAAAGTGAATATCGATCCTACAGACGCAGTTAACAGTAAACTGTCTAAAAACATTTTGTTCTCTGTGCCCCAAGTAAAAACAGGAGGCTAAATCCCACCAGTCCCAAGTGGGATCCACCAATCCAATCTGGGATCCTGAACGGGATTTTAGAACTTCCCACATGGTAATCCACTCAAATGTTCTGGTGGGATCCTGTAAATCCCACCTAAAGTTCTGGGTGGGATTATGCCTTAATTTTTAGGTGGGATGCCGTCAGTGCCAGCTACAACTCCAGGCATCCCGCCTCACCCCATAAAATCCTGGGTTGGATCCGACCTCACCCAAAAAGAAATCCAAAGTGATATCCTAACTCAGCCCCTATAAAATCTCAGGTGTTGTTTTCTTTCTGAGAAGGCACGGTGACGTATCTTGCAATCTGATTGGTTCTTAGCGCGGTCCGTATTTCTCTATCTCCGCCCACGGGTACGGTAACGCTTTCGTGAGTCACCGAGAACATCTCTACCTTCGTTGCCATTCTTCAGAAATAAATTTTGCTTTTCCGGCTGGGCAATATTTTCAAACAAAGTATTTTTAGCGAATCAAATCGATTAATAACTTATTAATCGTCTCTTTTCTTACACTCAAATTACATTGGTTGCCAGCAGAAAATTGTTTTCGAAATGAATTTGTGGTAGCAAATGTGTAATTACATGAGTTGACTCGAGGCCTGAAATCAGTTTTCAAAGAACTCTAATCCTTCACAAAAAGTAACTCAGAAAGTTAAAACTGTGAGATAATTATTTACAATTGAATTAATCGATGGCCTTTCATTCATTTAATTTCTGAATTCTCTTAAACAATTTTTCTCGTTGTAGCAAAGATTTAAGTCCTACTTCAAATACACTTTCGGTAAGTCTTTTCAAGTCGACCTCTTCAATATGGCCATTTGCACCATATATTACACCGAAAAACCAAATAAATTCAATGAGAAAAAGCCGCATTAACTTCCCCTTGGGCTAGTTAAAGTGTCTCATTTGACTTTAGTTATTTGGTGGAAAAAGATCAGATTTACACGCGCCATTGCAGCAAACAAACGAAGAAACTCCCACAACTTCCAAACATACGTTTGAATTTACTTACAATTACTTTCCTTGTAATTCACAAAGGTATTCTTCGAACACTAATCATCGATGGAAGTGAATAATACTTTCCGTAAGATCATTAAATGGTTTTGAAGAAAAAGTCGTTGTGTCAGTCTTTGAATTTTGTTTGCCAAACCCGTGCCCTAGTTTTTTCTTTCAAAAGTGTACATGCGCTTATTTTTCTTACGCGCTCCTTAATTGACAGGTGTCAGATTGTGAGAGATATTTGTAAAAATTATTTTTTAAAGTTTGTTTGAAAGCCTTTTAAATCACTTTTATCACTACGCAAATAAAAATGTTTCGGTGAGATCTCTCTGTAATTTGCATTATCTCTGTTTTAGCTACCATTTACTTGCTCAGAAATTGTTCACTTTAAGAAGGATGTTGCCGTAATTACGGTCCTAAATCATTCGGGTTATTTTGGCAGGAATACAGCATACTTAGCATAGAATTCGCTTATAACACAAGCGAGCTTCTACTCCTGTATAGCCTATAAGTCACTCAGAAAATTTCGAAATGAATGGTGACTTTTGAAACTATCGTGAAACATGCATTGGAGAACAGTTCAAATTTGGTGCATTTGTTGGCTAAGATGTACTTTTGGCTCATATGATCGCACTTGGACTTGTGGTCTAAATATTCCAATTTCCTTTTAGCCCCTTAATTCCTAGAAGTGACCAACACGTAACTTCTCCTTGCAATATCTATACATTGTCCAGCAAACGGGTTATTGAATAATAGGTTAATCCTCGTAGGCTATTGAGGTAAATGTTGAGTTTAATATGATGAATAGCTTAATGTACAAATACATGCACCTGCAGCAACCAATTATGCTGTAGGTAAATTATACTGCTCTCAAATGTATTTCTTTCTTTAGATTAATTTGAATGCCGTAAAGCTGGACAAATATTATATGCAACAACTGCAGCTTGCTCGAGGACTAAGCTGTAAAACGGACTTTCTCGGCCCTCCTCCCACACCCCCACCCCCTCAGAAAAAATTCTTAGTTCAGACTCCACATTCCTTACATATCCAATTTAAAATGCGACTGATCGAAAGCTGGAATATCATGATACTTATTGCATCTTTAAATCATGCAAGAAAATCACGTTCACCATTAACAATGCAGCAAAGAAGACAGATTGGTTCCGAAAATAACTCAGCTTGAGGAATATGTCCCACGTCTTTCCGTTTCAGACCATTTCAATTTCGAACTCCGCTTTCATCAGTTTTCCAAAATAAATTTGACTCTAGCATGTTTGCGTTATATGTCAGACGAAGAAAACAACTACTTTCGAAATTTAGATTATATCCACAGTAACATTTACCTTACAGATACCAATGAGCTAGCTGAGTTTAAAGAACTGAGAAGCTGTCACGAGGATTATTGACGGTGTGCGTTTCCTTATGTGCGATTCGTAAATGTCCGCACATAATTATTTTACGATGGTTTGTCAAAAGGATTTTTCTTACCTTTAGCTTTGAGCATCTCTCCTGATATAAACACAATGTGTCACTCAACGCTTGACATCGATACGACCAGCAGCTGTTGAAAAAACTGATATAAGTTCAATTCAATCAAATAAAACCACTCGGTTTCGATTCTCCATCAAATACCTCAAGTTGAAGGTTGTTCTTCAAATTGTCTGTCTCGCATGCGTGCTTCTGGCTCCAAAACTCGTTTTCTACATGTCAATAAGTGAATTGCTCTTTACGAATTTTAAGGACGCTGCATTTAGTTCGTGTCCGTCGATCCATTGTTGCTTTGCAATGATGCGATACTTCGAGAATTAGGGAGTCGTCTGTCAGATCACGAGATCACAGACAATCATACGTCAATCACGTTATACCAAACAAATCAAAAGCATTCATCCGATTGGCTGAGTCCAACAGAAAAATGAAAAGGCTGTTGTAAAATGCAACTGTTACGACAAAGTTCCAAAATAATGCAATCCCTCGGTCTTTTACCGCCAAGATCTCATTAGTAATATTCCTTACTGTTTGTTTTGAGCGATAAATGTGAGTTAATGTACAGTACGTGTGGGTCTGTCGATTCTCAGAAAGAGCCTGGCGTGCATTGGTCAGCCTCAAAACAGGAAGATAGGACGAAAGAATCGATTCGTAATCACTTCAATCCTTGTCGAGTGACTTAGTTTCTCCTTTTATGTGATATACTAATTTTATGTGATCAACTGCGTGTGGGCGTCAATGTTCCCTTTATTTATAGACTCAGGGGGTTATAAGCTTAACTTCACAATGACCTTCGTTACTCAGTGTTTACTGTTGTATCTTCGAAGAAGAAATGAATTGCTTGATTAAAAAAAAACAAGTTAACATGTACAGAGAGCCTCATGATCAAATGATCAAACTGTCAACCGCCTGTGACTCAATTTGTTCTTTTATGTAATATACCAATTTTACGTGATCAACTACATGTATGCGCGAATGTTCCCTTATATATAAACTCGGTGGATTAAACTTACCTTCGCAATGACCTTATCTTCGTTACTCAGTGTTTACTTTTTTATCTTCGAGGAGGAAATGGATTTCTAAATTTAAAAAAAGTGACAAGTTAACATGTACAGAGAGCCTCATGATCAAACTGTCAACTGCCATCTTGTTGTTAGTTGAGGTTGAACCGTCAGTCTGATCAGTATTCCTCGTTCTACTTGTTCCATATTTTGATCTATACTTGAGTGTAATGCTTGAATTCTGTAGATACGTGCGCGTTTGAAGATCAAAAAGGAACAAAAAGACATGT